GCAACATCCATGCGCCTGTAAGATTCACCAAGCAAAGGCATGTCGTCTACCTTCTTGTCCAAATCATCTAATGACTGGTAACCATCAAATCGTACAACAGGAATGGTTGATCTGCTGTACGCGATAACAGCTACTCTCGATTTTTCAGAAGTGACATTAACCAGTCGTGCTAACGATTTAACGAACTCCTTCTCTTTTTTATAATTTGCGTTTCCGACGGAAGCCGAGGAGTCTACCATGAAGACAATATCAGCTGTTACGTCCAACGGTCTATTTGCACCACCTAATGACAAAAATATATATGGGTTACTGACCAAGCATGAGATCAAGTCGTCTACGACATTGGTCGGGTTCTTTTTGCATTTTTAACGACCGAGAGGCATAGTCGAGGTCCATTAACAAAAAACAGAAAAACACGAGGCCAATATCTTACCATCTTGACTGAACAAGGTTAGTTAATAAAAGATTTGGTATATGGCATAAAGAACACCATTTTCTTGCGGGATACAGCAGGTAATCCCAAGAGGGCAAAATAGCCCCAACGTGCCTCCAGTGGTAGCCAATTACAGCACAGGAATTGCCAAATCAGAATGCGGTATGTAGTTGCGAAATGTGACAATTTCTTGTTGTTATGATCATAGAACTTTTGACAGCGAACAATATTGACACCACAAGCCACGAGACCAGCTACTAACCAACTAACTGGCGTGGGTAAAATGAACTAGTAACCTAGCATTTACTGTAATACACCAATGCTCAGTTGAAAGGAATCTTAAACAATAATCTTTCCTTGAAAGAAACTATAGAACAAATCAAAAATGTCTTTCACTTACTACCGATATCCCTCCCGATTGGCTGCGCTTCCCTCTGAAGATAATCGAACGAACCAACTTGATAAATATCTTCGGGTTCTGCAACAATGGGCCTTAACCCGTCAAAGCTCGCTTCACTTCCAATGGTTATCACATAAATTTCTGCACTCACGTTCCTCAGTTCTTTGCTGGAATCCCTCACAAGACGGCCTCGATACAGTTGGGCTTGTCTACCTGCAGTCAACAAAATAACGATACTACGGGCTGGTGACTTCTCTCGTCGAAGCATATTAGTAGCACCGTTCAAAGCTTCATCCATTCTTCGTTGGCCACTTACAACCTGTAACGCATCGACATCTCTATCAAATTCATTCAAGGACTGGTAGCTCTTTAATGTTCCTGACGTCACGGGGAAAGCGCCGTACGGAATTGCCGCCATCTTTGATTCTTTAAGAGGGGCATCAAGTGACCGCACCATTGACTTCACGAACTCTTTCTCTTTTCCAAAGTCTCGGCGACTGACGCCAGAGGAGGTATCCAAAAGGAATACGACGTGTACTAGATCTCCCTCAGCAGATGGATAATCTGAACGAAAATGAAATGTAAAATTAAACGCCAAATAATCGGTTGAATTTTAAAAAGTGCTTCAAGAGAAAAGATTGAAAACGTTAATTAGGGATGATAATGATAATGGTGATGATAAAGACGACGATGAAAAATTTTTCCGCACCGTGGATGCGTAAATCTTCCAACTTCTATTCATGCTATAATGTAATCCATTTACCAGCATTGTCCCCAAACTCTGTTTATACCTTGATAGCATAGATGAAACTTTACCCTGTAGCTTAGCAAAAAGAATTGCTCCTCAAAGTTCTACGCTTTCACAGTTGACCTTCTATCTCTTGTTTTAGTGATCATTTACATTAAGTTGACAAACTCCCTTCCCCACACCCTCCGCGCATTCATTTTCCTTCTTGAATAGAGCGTATTAATTACACCTTAAGACTAAAACACATTGCCGATCGCGGCAAATGGAAATAACGGAATGAGCCAATTGCATTTTGAAGTAAAAAAATGTAGTTTAGTGGTTTTAAGAATGGGAAATACATAGGAAATCCGATTTGAGATAATAGGGAATTAAGTAAATAGGTTCTATAAATGACAGGGAAGGTATCATAGTAATATGAGATAACTAAAGCCATAAGCCAAGGCAAAGTCAATAAAAATGGGTAATTGAATTTGGCAATCGATTAATATGTCCTTTACGCTATACTAAGCAGGTAAAACTAGCTTCCTCACCGGTTTTGTTCACAATATGCCTCGCAATTGGTCTCGTCTGTGGCGTAAGGTCATCAAACCTCGACACCTTTAACACGTCACTAGGCTCCTCAACAACAAGCCGTAGTTCTTGGTCATTCGGTTGCGAACCTATTGCAACGACATATATATTGGCGCTAAGCTCCTGAAGTGGTTTTACAGCTTGAGGCAATAAATTACTTGATTGGCTCTGACGCCCTGTTGTCAACAGAACAACAACCCTACGAACATTTGGTCGCGCGTCTTTCATTGCAACAGCGCCTTCTCGTAATCCTAAGTCCATTCTGCGTACGGAGCCAAGATATGGCAAGTCATCCACTGCTTTATCAAATATCGTGGAATTATAGTAAGCGTTGAATCTTATCTCGAGACTCGCTACTCCACTGTAGACGACCACAGATGCTCGAGTTTTCCCTGGGGAAAGGTTAAGGGTTTTGGCCAAAGACTTGATGAAAGCTTTCTCTTTGTTGTAGTTTTCTCGACTTACTTCAGAAGAAGAGTCCACAATAAACACAATGTCAGCTTCAAATTTCATTGGTTGTACTGGTTTGGGTAGAACTGTAAATAGTAAAGAATAACGTTATCCTACTCTTTTCATGGAATGCAAAACAATGGAACTTAACTTATGACAGCTATTTTTGTACAAAGCGACAAAACAAAAAAAAAGGTAATAACCCACAAGCACAATAAGATTACCAGCAAGAATGACAGGTCGACAACAACATCATAAACAACAACAACACCAACAAGATCATCGACAGTCAGAACAATGAATACATAAAGAATGAGGATGCGAATTGGCAGGGAAAAGAAACCAATAGTGACTGAGCTTGCACAGTTATTTTCTCGCGTTTCTCTTTTCAGTTGTATTTAAGCCACTGGGATACTTGCGTGTGCTATTTAACAAATTGACGAAAGTTTTTCATGAGTCTGTCCTGTTATTGATCATGAATTTCGTCAGACTACTTTGACAATGCTATCACGAAATTCATTGTCAATGAAAAACTGACGTCAATTTGTTTTTTTACAATAACAAAGAGACAAAAATTATAAATTCATGAGTCTGTTCGCTCAGCATTGACAATACAAATTGGCGAATGAGCACCGGAGAATTTCTGCAGCTATTGTAAAAAATTGGTCGGACGTTACTACTGCACTTTGACTCAGCTATTCGACACGTTTCTTGCTCGTTGCTCGGTAATCGCATACACGATTATAACGCTGCGATAAAAAGAACTTTCCTAGTAATAGTTTAAAGGAACAATTGAAAGGCGGTCTCAGTTGTAATGCGAAAGTCTCTTTTAAGAAATTTTCTTTTTTTGACATACACATCGAAATGTGAAACCACAGTTTAAAATGAACAACAACGGACACATTAAATTAAGAACTGCAACGATATGGGCTGTCTCGTGATCCCAAATCAACATATTGAGCGTGGCGTTCAAATAAGAAAGCAAAATAATTTCGTCTAATTTATCTGTGTGCTCTATGACACTTTCACAAAGGGACGCTTTTCGGAACAGGGGCACTAAATCAATTCATTGCGGTATCCTATGTGAAAATTCATCGAAAGCCATGTAACTCACCGACTCTGGTGTAAATCGTCTCTGTTATGGAATCACTGTTCAGCCTCAGATCTTTAAAGGTTGAGATTTTGAAAACATCTTGTGGATGATCAGCGACATGCCCTAATATTTCAACATTTGGCTCCCTTCCAACTGCAAGGACGTACACTCTTGCTCCCAGGCCGTGAATCCTCTCAGCGGCAGCTTTGATCGATTCTTTTTGAGGATCTTCTTCTTTGCCAGTTGCAGCAAGCAAAACGACAATCCTAGGAATCGACGGATTAGCGTCTCTCAGAACATCACTGGCATCAACAAGTGCTTTGTCAATTCGGGCTGTTCCGCCAACACTTGTTGCTGTATCCACTGCACTTTCGATGTAATTCACGGAGAGATAGCTATCAAAACGGAGTACTTTCTCTGAATTCGTTCCGTAGGTGATCAGCGCGGCTCTAGATTGCCCTCGTTTGACATTAAACGACGCCATCATTGACTTCACAAAGTCTTTTTGCGCCATAAAGTCATCTTCGGTCACACGGGAGGACGAATCCATGATGAAGAGGATATCAGATTTGAATTTCGGTGGTATTATAGATCGGAAAACTGAATAAAGAACCAAATTTTAAGTTAACTACGTTCAACAAAAAAGCAAAGCAAAGCAAAGCTTTATTCTATACTGAACCATTTCAGAAACTAAAAAGACTCCATAACGAGACCAATAGCTTTGCGTACACATTTTCTGATGGACTAGACCGTTAGTGAAATTGTGCAATTTTTTTTTTTACTTAAGTGATATTTTTAAACCAATGGTGCAAAATAAACTCGTAACTGTAAGCGTAATAACAAGTCACAAGAGAATAGTCCGCAGGTCGGTCAAGATACGAGCATGATCTGATGGTGAATGATTGAAAAGAGCGCGCAAGCAAAACTTAATCGACGTTCACACCCCAACCTTGGATTGGTCGCGCAAACATAATGCTAGCCACCTGATGCTGCAGAACATTATCTGGGAAAATGACTCGACAAGAAGGACATTATGTTCTCCTCGTAAAGTTTGGTTGACAAATAGGTTATCACTACTGGGCACAGTTGTTTAAAGTGTACATAAAAAGTTTTTGTTGTAATAGGAGTTTGGTGCAAAAGGTCAAACATAATATAACAATGTAAGAACATACCGTTGATAATGTAATCAGCAACAGAGTTTACTTGAGAGGTGAGCTGGTCGAATCGGGGCACCAGAATAATATCCTGTTTCCTTTTGACTATTGGCGTCAACTCAGGTTCATTGATTTGAGAGCCAATGGCCACTACGAAAGTCTCGGCACCAATTGTTTTAAGAGGCCGAACAGCCTGTGCCAACGGTTTGCCTCCCCTGGATTGTCGACCAGCGGTTAAGAGCACCACAATTTTCTTCACCTCAGGACGGTTCTTGTCAAAAGCGACGGATGCCTTTTCCAATGCTCGGTCCATTCTTCGTAATCCTGAAATACGAGTAAGTCCATCCAAGCTACTCCCCAGGGACTCAGGTGTCTGCAATATTCCCAGTCTTATGAGTCTGGAATAGGAAGCATAAGTGACAATTCCTACCCGAGATCCTTTTGGACCGAGATTGAGAGCAGCTGACAGGTACTTGATAAACTCTTTTTCTTTGTTAAAGTTGTCTGCAGACACCCCAAAAGAGGAATCGATCAAAAAAATGATGTCAGCTGTAAAGTCGCGTGGTGGCTCTGGTTGTGTTTCTGCAAAACAAATAAACAAAGCTTGTAACAGTGTACCATATCTGGAGGAAACATCGACTTCCAAGGTAGAGATATAGACTATTTTGGCCAAATGATTCAGCTGAGTAATAGAAAGTCTCTGCGCTTCGCCACACAAACCGTCCTATTTTTCATAAAGCAAAGCGAACCTCCTTTTTTTTAACTTGGCTATGGTATATTATGTCAGAGCAATGTAATATCGACCAAGAAACAAGTTATCTTTAATTTCCCGTAACCTTCCCTTCTACATTTAAGAGTAGGTATTGGTGCCGAAATACGTAGCAAAACCTCAAAGAAAAAAAGAAAAAAAAAATGCTGTGGAGTAGTCTGCGTTGAAGAAACATTTAATCTAAGGGAAGAGGCATTAATCTTGGTCACTCTGTTTCACAGAAACCCGTGTAAGCTCTAGCGGCATGAGCCTTTTACCCTGAACAAGAAATTGGGACGAAACTGGCACTTTTTATGATAGAGCTTCACCGCTACGTTAGCCCTTTTAGACGGTAGCTTGTGCCAAATTGGTTCGACACAGCAAAGGAGTCAAAAACTATCGCTGATAAATTCTCACCTATTCTCTCTGCTATATGTTTGGTAATTGGCCTGGTGCGAGGCTCCAGTGACGCAAAGGAGGAAACAACTAAGAGATTAGAGTCCAAGCGATGAACAGGCCGTAATTCTAGCACATCAGGCTCGGGACCAATAGCGACAACGTATGTTTGTGCTCGCATGGCATGTAATGGAGACGCGGCACTAGTTAAAGTATTACCAAAACCAGAATCTTGCTTTCCAGCTGTTAGCATGATAACGACTTTGGGACGATTTGAAGGAACGTTCTTCAACAGAGTCACGGCAGCGTCCAAGGCGCGGTCAATTCTTCTCGAGCCGCCAACAAGGGAGAGTTTGTCCACATCTTCTTTAAATGTCCGCATAGTGGAGTGGCCGCTAAATCCTATTGCCAGTCGTGCGTAAGAGCTGAAGAGGATTACGGCAACCCTGGACCTCGCAGTAGCTAAATTTAGAGAACGGGCAACGTTGTTCACAAAATCTTTTAATTTTCCAAAGTTTTCTCCCCCAACGCTCCCAGAAGAATCCACCAAAAAGACAATATCGGCATCTACATCGTAGACTTTCTCAGGTTTTCGCTCTGTAAGAAAAACAGAAATAAGTAAGCCTACTTGACATTAACTGCTGTATTAAACACCTCTGCGGGAAACAAACTAGCGTAAGACCAACTGGTGACTGTCAACTGGTTGTTTGAACAAGCAGAACCTACAGTCTACTAATTAAATAAAAAACACTGATGATTCACTGGGACGGTTAAGGTTCAGTCTTTAAAAATGAACTACCGAGAAACTTCATAACTAGGGTTCTTTAGAGGTTAACTATAATTCTAAANAATACAAATTGGCGAATGAGCACCGGAGAATTTCTGCAGCTATTGTAAAAAATTGGTCGGACGTTACTACTGCACTTTGACTCAGCTATTCGACACGTTTCTTGCTCGTTGCTCGGTAATCGCATACACGATTATAACGCTGCGATAAAAAGAACTTTCCTAGTAATAGTTTAAAGGAACAATTGAAAGGCGGTCTCAGTTGTAATGCGAAAGTCTCTTTTAAGAAATTTTCTTTTTTTGACATACACATCGAAATGTGAAACCACAGTTTAAAATGAACAACAACGGACACATTAAATTAAGAACTGCAACGATATGGGCTGTCTCGTGATCCCAAATCAACATATTGAGCGTGGCGTTCAAATAAGAAAGCAAAATAATTTCGTCTAATTTATCTGTGTGCTCTATGACACTTTCACAAAGGGACGCTTTTCGGAACAGGGGCACTAAATCAATTCATTGCGGTATCCTATGTGAAAATTCATCGAAAGCCATGTAACTCACCGACTCTGGTGTAAATCGTCTCTGTTATGGAATCACTGTTCAGCCTCAGATCTTTAAAGGTTGAGATTTTGAAAACATCTTGTGGATGATCAGCGACATGCCCTAATATTTCAACATTTGGCTCCCTTCCAACTGCAAGGACGTACACTCTTGCTCCCAGGCCGTGAATCCTCTCAGCGGCAGCTTTGATCGATTCTTTTTGAGGATCTTCTTCTTTGCCAGTTGCAGCAAGCAAAACGACAATCCTAGGAATCGACGGATTAGCGTCTCTCAGAACATCACTGGCATCAACAAGTGCTTTGTCAATTCGGGCTGTTCCGCCAACACTTGTTGCTGTATCCACTGCACTTTCGATGTAATTCACGGAGAGATAGCTATCAAAACGGAGTACTTTCTCTGAATTCGTTCCGTAGGTGATCAGCGCGGCTCTAGATTGCCCTCGTTTGACATTAAACGACGCCATCATTGACTTCACAAAGTCTTTTTGCGCCATAAAGTCATCTTCGGTCACACGGGAGGACGAATCCATGATGAAGAGGATATCAGATTTGAATTTCGGTGGTATTATAGATCGGAAAACTGAATAAAGAACCAAATTTTAAGTTAACTACGTTCAACAAAAAAGCAAAGCAAAGCAAAGCTTTATTCTATACTGAACCATTTCAGAAACTAAAAAGACTCCATAACGAGACCAATAGCTTTGCGTACACATTTTCTGATGGACTAGACCGTTAGTGAAATTGTGCAATTTTTTTTTTTACTTAAGTGATATTTTTAAACCAATGGTGCAAAATAAACTCGTAACTGTAAGCGTAATAACAAGTCACAAGAGAATAGTCCGCAGGTCGGTCAAGATACGAGCATGATCTGATGGTGAATGATTGAAAAGAGCGCGCAAGCAAAACTTAATCGACGTTCACACCCCAACCTTGGATTGGTCGCGCAAACATAATGCTAGCCACCTGATGCTGCAGAACATTATCTGGGAAAATGACTCGACAAGAAGGACATTATGTTCTCCTCGTAAAGTTTGGTTGACAAATAGGTTATCACTACTGGGCACAGTTGTTTAAAGTGTACATAAAAAGTTTTTGTTGTAATAGGAGTTTGGTGCAAAAGGTCAAACATAATATAACAATGTAAGAACATACCGTTGATAATGTAATCAGCAACAGAGTTTACTTGAGAGGTGAGCTGGTCGAATCGGGGCACCAGAATAATATCCTGTTTCCTTTTGACTATTGGCGTCAACTCAGGTTCATTGATTTGAGAGCCAATGGCCACTACGAAAGTCTCGGCACCAATTGTTTTAAGAGGCCGAACAGCCTGTGCCAACGGTTTGCCTCCCCTGGATTGTCGACCAGCGGTTAAGAGCACCACAATTTTCTTCACCTCAGGACGGTTCTTGTCAAAAGCGACGGATGCCTTTTCCAATGCTCGGTCCATTCTTCGTAATCCTGAAATACGAGTAAGTCCATCCAAGCTACTCCCCAGGGACTCAGGTGTCTGCAATATTCCCAGTCTTATGAGTCTGGAATAGGAAGCATAAGTGACAATTCCTACCCGAGATCCTTTTGGACCGAGATTGAGAGCAGCTGACAGGTACTTGATAAACTCTTTTTCTTTGTTAAAGTTGTCTGCAGACACCCCAAAAGAGGAATCGATCAAAAAAATGATGTCAGCTGTAAAGTCGCGTGGTGGCTCTGGTTGTGTTTCTGCAAAACAAATAAACAAAGCTTGTAACAGTGTACCATATCTGGAGGAAACATCGACTTCCAAGGTAGAGATATAGACTATTTTGGCCAAATGATTCAGCTGAGTAATAGAAAGTCTCTGCGCTTCGCCACACAAACCGTCCTATTTTTCATAAAGCAAAGCGAACCTCCTTTTTTTTAACTTGGCTATGGTATATTATGTCAGAGCAATGTAATATCGACCAAGAAACAAGTTATCTTTAATTTCCCGTAACCTTCCCTTCTACATTTAAGAGTAGGTATTGGTGCCGAAATACGTAGCAAAACCTCAAAGAAAAAAAGAAAAAAAAATGCTGTGGAGTAGTCTGCGTTGAAGAAACATTTAATCTAAGGGAAGAGGCATTAATCTTGGTCACTCTGTTTCACAGAAACCCGTGTAAGCTCTAGCGGCATGAGCCTTTTACCCTGAACAAGAAATTGGGACGAAACTGGCACTTTTTATGATAGAGCTTCACCGCTACGTTAGCCCTTTTAGACGGTAGCTTGTGCCAAATTGGTTCGACACAGCAAAGGAGTCAAAAACTATCGCTGATAAATTCTCACCTATTCTCTCTGCTATATGTTTGGTAATTGGCCTGGTGCGAGGCTCCAGTGACGCAAAGGAGGAAACAACTAAGAGATTAGAGTCCAAGCGATGAACAGGCCGTAATTCTAGCACATCAGGCTCGGGACCAATAGCGACAACGTATGTTTGTGCTCGCATGGCATGTAATGGAGACGCGGCACTAGTTAAAGTATTACCAAAACCAGAATCTTGCTTTCCAGCTGTTAGCATGATAACGACTTTGGGACGATTTGAAGGAACGTTCTTCAACAGAGTCACGGCAGCGTCCAAGGCGCGGTCAATTCTTCTCGAGCCGCCAACAAGGGAGAGTTTGTCCACATCTTCTTTAAATGTCCGCATAGTGGAGTGGCCGCTAAATCCTATTGCCAGTCGTGCGTAAGAGCTGAAGAGGATTACGGCAACCCTGGACCTCGCAGTAGCTAAATTTAGAGAACGGGCAACGTTGTTCACAAAATCTTTTAATTTTCCAAAGTTTTCTCCCCCAACGCTCCCAGAAGAATCCACCAAAAAGACAATATCGGCATCTACATCGTAGACTTTCTCAGGTTTTCGCTCTGTAAGAAAAACAGAAATAAGTAAGCCTACTTGACATTAACTGCTGTATTAAACACCTCTGCGGGAAACAAACTAGCGTAAGACCAACTGGTGACTGTCAACTGGTTGTTTGAACAAGCAGAACCTACAGTCTACTAATTAAATAAAAAACACTGATGATTCACTGGGACGGTTAAGGTTCAGTCTTTAAAAATGAACTACCGAGAAACTTCATAACTAGGGTTCTTTAGAGGTTAACTATAATTCTAAAATTTTCAGTACGTAGAAATCGTGGCCTCCTGAACCAAAAAGCTGACGTCACATGTTAATTATCATTGGGCCATCCCCTTTTTTTTCGTTTATTGTCGAATGCGTTTTCTGATTTTGGGTCGGTCGGTCGGAAAAGGAAAAAAAACAACAAAAATAAAATTGGAAAAGGAGTCTGGAGCTAGGAGGCCCGGTACCTCAGCATAATATCCGTGGAGCCTGGAAACAACAAGGTGTGGTTACAAAGTCAACATCGACGTCGACGTCGTTGTTAAAATCAAACGAGAAGAGGGAAAAACTGAAAATCTGTAAGGCAAAAAATTGCTTATGTTTCAGATTAAAGTGACAATTGTTTGAAATAATGTGTCATTGCCTTCATTGCCTTCTGTGTAACTTTTTTTTTTTGAAAACGCGAAAATCTGGGTCGGTCGGACGACGCTAAACAGAGAAAAAAAAGGATGGCCTTATTTCTAAAGTAAACACCAGTGAATAAATATTATTCAACCTTAGGCCTACTGAGTTCACGATAACAACACGAAACAAAACTAACCTGCCCTCCTTATGATAGCTTTGGCTGTTGATTCAAACGTTTGTGCTAGTCCAGTGAATTCGGGGACTTTAAAAATGTCGCCTTGTTTCGTGACGATCATCTCAAGTTCCTTTAAGTCAACGTCTCCACCAATGGCAACAACATACGTATTACCCCCTACGTCACGGAGCGCCCCGGATGCATTTCTAAGTAAGTCTGCTTCACCAACACCATTCACTCCTGCCGTCAAGAAAACAGCAACTTTTGGAACCAAAAATCTGCTCCCTTCCAAGATCTCGGCAGCCTTGGTAACGGCAAGATCGATTCTCCTTCTTCCTCCGACGTATTCTGCTCCATCCAAACCTCTAAGAAGTTCACCTTGCGGACTAATCAAACTTGCTTGCTCCTTGGCTATGTAACCATACGTGACAACCGCTACTCTAGTTACGTTTTGATCAGCTTTCATGAATTGAACAACAGATTTAAGGAAGTTCTTTTCCCTTTCAAAGTTGTCCAGAATAACGTCGGATGAGGAGTCGATGAGGAAAACTACATCAGCAGGAAACGATTCTGGTATGTCCATCTCCGCTTCAAGGAAGAAAGAAAACAAATAAAAGTTAGTTAGCTTTGCAAGGCCGACATCGGCTTGTATTCCTTTGACAAAACAAGTCGGTATGAAGTAAACTTTCTCCGCCTACTGTCTTATCGGGAAAGCAAGCATTTAGTACGAAACGACTAGGACTATCAATACTCCCCTGAATGACACGCTGAACTACTGGGCCGTGTTGTTCAAATCCCGATTAAGGTAACCCAGGATTAGAAAGAGAAGTTAATGCAGTCGAACCCCGCTATTTCGAACCCGCAGGGGAAACGAAAAATACAGCTGAACCCTGCTATTTCGAACCCGCAGGGGAATCGAAAAATAGTTCAAAATAGCGAGAGTACGAAAAAACAATAGTAAAGGACTGAAGGGGGAATCCAAAGGAAACCGTTCTGAGTTCGCAATAACCGGGAATTCGAAATCCTGAGTTGTCGCCAACCGGCTTTCGAACAACCCGGCCCTGTTGGGTAAACCTGTATTAGTATAATTCTACTAGTATACTATTGCAAATACTGTAATCTGATTGGCTGGGCCACCGCATCCTTTCAGACATTTTATATGCAATGGCTGGAAGTCGCCTACAAAATGGTGACATTTTCTTCTTTTCCAAAGTTGCAGAGAAGGATTTAAAACATTACTGAACAATTCGGTTTCCGAGAAAATTAAAATTAACGAAATTTATCCGTTAAACGACTTGTTGAATGAATTGATCTCAGTGCACTTACACAGCAGCAACTTTCAAATGAAAATTCAATCCACGCACGAAAACCGCTAACTCGTGGAGTTTACTATAACTTAACATATTCTGTAGACAAATAGCAGGAAATCATTATAATTATGATGGCATCTCTGTTAGAATTCTACTAAAACAATTGCACTGTCCGCTCTCGATTTCTAGGAGGCGAAAGTAATCGCCATCTCTTAATCTGATAGTTTAAAATTAGTTTCCTCAGTAAAACAGTAACTAGGTGATCCTGCAAACACATTTTCAAATTACAAAGTAGCTATTTTCCTTACCATTGATTTTGCTTCTTATTCAAGACTATTGAAGGACGGCACCTGGAACCTTAGGCTTTTGTACCAGCAAAAACACGAATCCTCCAAAAATAAAGAGGCTCTGAACCTCCTCTCGCATTCTTTTTAATGTAGCAAAAAGTTGCATTTTAACGTGCAATTCTATACCAACAATGGTGATCACCTGACTCGTTTTTGACTTAAAAGCCCTTAAAATGGACACTATTGCTTAGCTTTACCACAGAAAAACCCCCTACCTTTTGAAATATGCTCCGCAATGCGTAAAATCTGCGACCTCAAACTGTCGAAGGTAGGTACATAGATGACATCTTCGTCTCTTTCTACAACTGGTTTCAAATATTTCCCACTTGATTCTTTTCCTATGGCGACAACGAACCTTTCCACGTTCAACGTTTTCAGCTGTTGCACAGCGATTTCAAAGGGGTTTATCAATTCAGATGTATGCTCTCCAGACGTTAACAGGACAAGTATGTGACGGACATTGGGTCTGCTGCCTCTAAACATCTGAGTCGCGCTTGTTAAGGCTCTATCGATTCTCCTTCCACCTCTTAACTGTTGAAGACCATCAAGTACAGATTGGAGAGATTCTGGGTTGCTCACCACATCAAACCTGATAGCTTGTCTGGCGTAATCACTGTAAAGTATTACTGCTACACGCGTCTTACCAGAACCAAAGTTGAGGTTTTTCGCCAAGGAGGCCACGAAATCTTTTTCTTTCTTGTGGTCTGCTGAGCTGACACTACTGGAGGAGTCTATCAGGAATACTATATCGGCTGTGACGTCAGACCCTTGAGAAACAAAGATTTATTCAATAATGTTTGCAGTGGTATACCCAGGGGCACACCACAAAAATATTCTAAGGTGACTGGACTTTCATTATGTTCAAAAGTGTAGACTATGCAAAGAAAAGTAAAAAGCAATCGTAGGGCATTCACAATATACCATGAGACAGACGAAAAATCTTTCCATCCTTTCGCTGAGTGCAGCTTGCATAGCATGGGCTAAAATGCAGTGGAGTATTTTCGCAAATTGACCTTGTGTGTTTTTATTTAAAACTAGCCCCTGTAGGTCCAACGTTCATTAAAGGCCCGACGTATTTTAAAATGGTATTTTTCATCATTTTCATGAACTATTTTTGGTCATCAGTAAATCAATGTTCATGAATTAAAGCAAAATATATCCTTAAACCCAAGAAAACAAGAAAATGATGTCACTGAATTCGTCTACAGTGAATAATGTACAAGTACAAAACAACGTCCTGGGGAATCTGTTGTCCAGAAGACTGTAAAGTACGACAGGCCAATTTTCTTTTTAGTTTGTTCTGTTATTTATGGGCTTCGGTTGGGTAACGTCGGGCTCAAAGCAGAATCGCTTCACTTCACGTTCGCCAGGGGCGTTTATTTTGAACTTCACTTTCTAGCTCCGGTAATTATTTGAACTCGGCGAGGAAAAAAAATTCGGCATAAGTATTAAATATCGATATTGGCTGTCGATTGATATTATTTCGTATGCTATCGGCAATATTGCATGAAAAAAAAAAAGAAAAAAAAAATGGAGAAAAGTTACAAGTCTGCTAATTGCCACAGACAGAAATAAGCCTAAATTGTATAGATCAAGACACAGAACAGACAAAATCGCTTTTATCTTTATCATTTTACTGACACTCACCTAGATTTTTGGCAATATCCTTGCTAATATCTCTACTTTGTTGTTGTAGATCACCAAACGCTGTGACTGAGATAATGTTGTCAGGTTTCTCCACTATCACGCGAAGCTCCCTAAGATTTGGTCTTTGCCCGATGGCAACTAAATACGTCATGGCACCGGTTTCAGTTACAGCTCTGGCAGCTGCATCCAGCGTTGGCGCTCCGATATCTTGTCTCCCGGAAGTTAAGAAGAATACAAGTTTTGGAACAAGTGGCCTGGCTTGTTTCAAAACCTCCACGGTTTCAAATAGAGCCCGGTCCATCCGTCTCGTTCTACGTAGGTGAATGAGGTTGTCTACAGCGTCGTTAAGTCGATCCGTGGTTTGGTAATCAGCAAACTTAATAGGTGTGGTGGCATAGTCACTGTAAATAATAACAGCAACTCGGGATTTCTTAGGAGCCAGGTTCAGGGCTCGGGCAACTGACTTGACAAACTGTTTCTCGCTGGTATAGCCCTGTGATGACACTTCATTCGAAGAATCCACTACAAACACTATATCTGCTGTAACGTTGAATACTGGCGAGTTGTCCCCTACGAAAGAAAAGGTCTAAATAAATGATCATCCTAGGCTCCAGCCATAACAGAAAGCCACACTATAAAATAAACTCAAATTGGTATGGCTATTGTTAGCGTCTCAGTATAAGAGAACTGCTCTGGTAACACGAGCAGGACGCTAATGTTTGCACAATTATGTAGATTAATTCAAAACTTTGATACGTGGTTCAGTCACAGTCGACGAATAAAAGGAAATCGCTCGTTCACTGTGATATTCGCTTTGTCCTCTTGTTCCACGGGTATCGACGTTTTACACAGTATTCTGTAAATTCAACTATTGCCAAGGGCCATGTCATGTAATGTCCTTTTCCTTTTTATTTCCATTTTCCTGTTCTTTCAGTGGAGGGAATAGATCAATTAAATGACATTTTGAATACCTCGGGAAAGCCGATTCAAAATGGTATTGAAAAGCCACACAGTATCTTTTGTTCTTACCACAACCTCACCTGTCCTCTTTATAATCTCACTGACCAAATATTCAGTGCTCCAGGTTAGCTCCTTCGGCGTTGAAATCGTAAACATGTCACGTGGTTCGTCGATGATGGGAGTCAACTCCTCCTCATCGGCATTCGGCCCTATAGCGATAACGTATCGATTGGTCCCAAGATCTCTAAGTGCTTGAGAGGATGCCGTGAGATACAGTTCACTACCAGCAGTCAGCAAGATGACCACCCTCGGCACAGATGAGCGAGCTTTATCGAGAACGGAGGCAGTAAATTCTAAAACCTTGGCAATGTTACGCCGGCCAATAACTTTTCGTGCATTGTCTACTGCGCTTGTAATTGCCGCTACGTCTTGGGATGAAGAGAATCGAACTACTTCGACAGGAACGTTACCGAAGCCAATAACAGCAACTCGAGACTTCTCAGGCGATAAGGTCAGGGACCGCACCATGGATTTTACGAAGTTCTTCTCTCGATCGAGTGTATTTTGATCAACATCAAACGAAGAGTCCATCAAGAATATTACGTCTGCCGCGAAGTTAGCGTAAGTTTTCGGTGCTGAGAAAAGAAAAAAAACGTTAACATTAATTCCATTTACCAGTTCAACACGTTTCATGGCTTAAGTAGGTGAGATGACAGATGCGGACGCCAGAAGCACGTTTAAACGCTTCATCCTCAACTTAATGTCAACATGTACTGAATCAAATTGTTCACCCATTTATCCCTAACTATTATGCTGGGACACTATGGTTAATTTGCATATTGGGAAGTCTGCAGCCTGAATAATAAAACTTGGGTCACTCTTACGTTCGCGCGGGTCATTGAGTTTTCGGGGTTGTTTCGTGCGCGTTTGGCTTTGGAGTTTGAGTTGAGGCCAAAAGCTGGCTAAGAAAATCACTCAATAAAGGCAAACTAATTCACTAACGTAAACTTTCATGTAGCGAAAAAAGAAATTTCACTTGAACTTTATTATGAGACCAGTTCAAGGACTGCGTCTAACCTCTGGATAAAACTATAGAATCCGTCGCAATACATGTAAGTGGCTTTTAATGAGCATTCACGCATTCATTATACCACACCGCATCTATAACCTCACTGTCGAGTGACACATTTTCTGTTAAACAAAAGCGAATTGTAGAACTATGAAACTTCAAAAGGAAGAGATAGAAAAGAGTTCCAGCTACTAGTGCTGTGACATAAATTGGAGTTCCCTTTCACCTTGCTTATGAAGCTGAACTGTTTCATTTTTTACGACCGACGGTTTACTTACATGGTCTTTGCTTAACGCTCGTCGTTACTTTTTCAGCGTCTCTCCCCAAGTTAGTAAATGACGACACGTTGAAAACATCTCGTGGTTTCGCCACAACTGCAGTAAGTTCTTCAAAGTAAGGATTACTGCCAATTGCAACGATGTAAAAGTCAGCTTTTTCGTTGAATATGCGTTTTGCTGCGTCGTACAAATTTCTTGAAGAGGGATCGCCTCTTCCGGATGTAAACAATATGACATTTCGGCGCACAGAAGATCTGGCCTCTGCCAACACTCTTCCGGCACTTTCCAGGGCTAGGTCTATCCGCCGGCGCCCTCCAATCCGAGGTGCCCGATCGATGTCATTTTCAAGAGAATTAAAAGATTGATAGCCGTCGAACTTGACCACAAGGGTTGGAATGTTACCGTATGTTATAACAGATGCTCTGGATCGGCCCGAGGGAACTTTCATGGAATGCGCCATAGACTTGACCACTTCCTTTTGATCTCTGTAGTTGTTCTGAGTGACCTCCGACGACGAATCCATGACGAATACAACATCCGTTTCAATTAGACCATCTAAAAGGAGAATATCAAGGGATAAAAAAGTCCATGCCAAACAATTGGAACCCAAGGAACATTACAGTAGTTCTGGAACAATACATTCAGTGAAACTATATTCTTTGTCACACCTCTTCCACAGGAGACAATGCAATGCAGTGCATTCCAGTGCAATGCAATGCAATGCAATGCAATGGAAAGTATTCACTCACGTGTCTAGCAGCCATGCAAATTTATTTTAACAGATTAAAGTGTTTACATAAGAAAAGAGTTGAAGTCCCACAGGATTGGTTTTGTACACCAACATGGCCGCCATGACGTCATGTGCATACGCTCCATACGATACAATAGAAGTTTAATGTGACTTAGATTTCCAGTTTTGACATCACACGACAAAATGACACACCAGTTAATTTGAAGGTATTCCACATGAATTAAAAGTAAATATTATAATATATGATTAAACATAACTTCAGGAATGCTGTCGAAGGCGATATATTGGGCTGACTAAAACACGAGAACAGCAAAAAAGGTAGATAGCTCATCCACACTTCTATTTCGATTGGCATTCCGTCTATTTGGAACCCGTCTCTAGATATTGAGCTTAATAGTGAGTGACGTCAGTGAGTCGTATAGGTCACGAGAATGGAGAAAATTATACAGGCATCAACTGGGGATAGTATGTTCTTGATGAAACAAGCATTTTCATAACTAGTATTTTTAAATATTTCTTAAATGAATATTGTCAATCACTTAGGAGAATCAATTTTTCTGGCTTTGAGAAACTTACCGACGGTCCTTTGGACGATTTCATAAGTCAGTTGAGGCTTGATTGATGTTAGGCTCTTAAATGACTCTACCAAGAAGACATTTTGTCTACTTTCAACAACTTGTCTCAGCTCCTGACTGGAAACATTTTCCCCTATTCCCAGCACAAATGTATCTGCTCCGATACTTCGAAGTGTTCTGCCAATCAAGTACAGCGGCTGCACTCCGGTTTCCTGTGATAAAATTAATTTATAATGACTTTTAAAGTGCCTATAAAATGCAATATTTTTTTTAAGAAATAAAGACATCTGAGTGCCGAAAAAACATTATCATCAATACTACAAATTTTTTTAGGCAGCTTTTTCGTTTAGTTTTATAGGCCACAAACCAAATGATCTAAAAATTCTCAGCGCCGACTCTAATTTTTGTAGCATGAAGCGGCTAGGAGTAATGCCACTCCGACGCGGTACTGAGAGCAAAATGTCTTGCCTAAGAACACAACACATTGTCTGACTGTGCGAGAACCCCACCCGAACGTCCAACCATTAGAACACTACGCCTTCCGTCAAAAAAATCAGACGTAAACAACATTACCTTATGCACATGGAATATATAAAATATTTTTTTAAAATTCTTATCACTGAATTAAAAAAGGTTGTTCTCTCGGTATAAAGAATCGTAATCCTTTGCCAATGACGCCCTTTTCCCTGTTGAACACTTGTGGATTTCTCACTACGTTTACTACCGAGCTTTCCACAGAAATACGTTTTAATTCTTTCAGCAGTTTCTTACCTCGATCTGTCGACCTGCTGTAATGAGGAGTACAATTTTAGGCACGGACTGTCCAGAGGCGTTCATGAGCTGCGCTCCTTCTTCAAGGGCGCGGTCAATTCGTCTTCCTCCTCCCACTGGTAGCACCCAGTCAATCTTTTTCTGCAGTGCATCACTACTCAGATCGTTCTCAAGCTCGTATATCACTTGTGGGCTATTGCCATATGTTATGAATGCCGTGCGAGATTTATTTGGAAGAGAATTAAAAGTCTGGATCAGCGCCTTCACAAGGGCTTTCTCCATTTCAAAGTCGTTGGGTGAAATGTCGGAAGACGAATCCACCAGGAAGAGAACATCAGCTTCTGGAAATTCATCTGGTAATTCTGGATCTATGAAAACAGATCACGAAAACCTTAGTCAACGCAAGGGAAGCCACAACGACAGCAGCAAGTAGTTCATAGTGTAAAGCACCAAAACACCTTTCAAGGTAAACCAGTTTCCTGGCACGGGAAACTGGTGTAAGTTCGTCAAACGAAGTGCTTCGTATTTTAATTTCCCAAGAAGTGTATGGTGAACTGCAACTAGACCAGATGACCTAATGTGCGGAGTGAGCATTCTAGGTTCGATTTCTGACAGGGGTCGGTGTGTTGTGTTCGTGGGCAAGACACTTTTCTAACACAGTTCCTGTCTCCATGTCGAAGACAGGTGTCGGCCTAACTGGCCTGTAAGTTCGAATGCACACTTACACTTACACTTGGTTTGACAACGTTTCACATCCTCTCATTGCAACTGCATACATAAGATCGTAAACTGCAATCTTGACTTGGAGAAGTGTTTACTGACATACTTGATGTACAAGAAAATTTAAGATTAAATTTATGTATTAACTCGAAAAAGCTGTGACTCTCTCACCTGATTGGTTGCCAAGTGTTTGAGCAACTTGCAATGCTCTTCCAGGAAGATCATCAAACGAGGAGATCTTAATTACAAACCTCTCGTCTTTTACGATTGGTAAAAGCTCATTTACATCCGGTCTGTCGCCTATGGCTACAACGTACGTCTTAGCCCCATGTTCTTGCAGCGGTTTTACAACTAATTCCAAGGGTTGTTCAGAACCCCTTCGACCTGCTGTGAGCAGTACCACGATTTTTGGGAACAGATCCCTGGTATTTGCAATCAACTGCGAAGCGTAGTTAAGGACCTTGTCAATACGTCTTGAGCCTACAACGAGCGCAGGAGAAACTTTAAAATTTAAACTACGGTTGGGCAAAACGTTACAAAGCTATAAGCAGTTCATAGATCCACGAAAAACACAAACTTTTGCGAGTCTCTGCCACTTCCCATTTCTTCTTAGATTACAGTCAGGCCATTCTTTTTGTCTCTGTTTTTCACCCTCTTTTGTAAGACCAAAACATAATTTGACTGGCAGTCTGTACTTGTACTTAATACTCTGTCGACTTCTTTCTTTAATTTTGCTTAATTTTGTTCGTGGTTGTTTGTTTGTTATTTATTTTTAAAGTAAGTTGTGTCAGATAAGGGTTTTTTTAGTTTGTAGTTCCTTGCTCAAAACCCCGCAAATAAATTTTAAAAATACCCCCCAAATCCCCGAGCTTCTTACGAACCAACTAGAGATCCAGGTTTAACGCGTTTTTAAGTTTTCAGGAATTCGGACGTGGTTATTTCGCTGTCCACTAGAATAACAAAACACAAGAGCGTGCGTTTTTTAATAGACTACGAGTAGTCCCACTTTCGCTTAGTCCGTCGTACGTGACGCGAAAGAAAACCGCGAGAAAAAAATGACCGCGCGAGCTCCTCGGGGTGAGAAGTACGCGTCTTGCCCCCAGGATTTCATGCGGCCATTTTTTCCTCGCGCTTTATTTACGATCTCGCTTGACGGACTAAGCAAAAGAGGGACTTCTCCTAGTCTAGTTTTTTAGACGTACCATCATTTTCTACGAATCACAAAAAGCGTGGAAGAGCAGCTTTGGGTACGCTATATGTATTTCAAGAAACAACTAAAATTATCTTACCGCTAATGTACGGAGCTCTCTGCACAGCATTCTTGAAAGGTGTAAGTGTCTCATAGCTGTCATAGTTAGCGACGAGTGTTGCAGTGTAACCATAGGTCAGGAGGGCAGCCCGCGTGCCGCCTGGAGACAGCCTTAAGAAACTCGCTAGGGACTCAACAAAATCTTTCTCTTTTGCGTAGTCTCCACGAGAGACTTCAGCGGAAGAGTCCATGATAAACAGGACATCACCTTGGAAACCACATGGTCCTGTCGGATCTAATGAGGCAAATGAAAGAGCACAATGAGTTAACTTTGTGTTATTCGCTTTTTGTGAAACATTTACAGCTGTAAAAGAAAATCGTAGAGAGGCCATAGAAACAAACATAAAAACAAAAAACAACAACAACAACAAAATACGTGTAACTGTCACGCTTCGCACAAGTTCGAAACACCATGTGTAGCCCTAATGGAAATGACCAAGAACGTCAAAAAAATTCTTATCCAAAACTTTTAAATTGGGTGAGCATTGAAATATTTTCCTGGGGTGACAGGAATTTTGGTTATGAACTTGCTAAGTTAGAAATAGACACAATGACTAAGCAGATGTAATGGCCAAAGTTTTGTTAGTAACTACTTTCCACGGCCTGTTGTTAAACTTGACCTGATCGTTCTGTAATTGCTTTGGACACTGGCTGAGCCTGCTGTGCCAGACTTCCAAATGTAGCAACTGTAAAGATGTCCTCAGAACGCTGAACCGCTGGAAGTAACTCCTCCTTGTCGTAATCTTTCCCAATGGCGACGGCAAACACCTTGATACACGAAGCACGAAGCGTCTTAAAGGATTCCTTCAGGAATGGCACGTCTTGGGGTTCAGACTGCTTTCCGCTCGTCAGCATAATAACAATCTTCTGAACCTCGGGTCTTACTGTTCTTAACAACGTTTCTGCCCTGTCAACGGCATAACGCAGCCTTCGAGAACCCCCAATGTATAGGGCGTCATCAACGGCTCGTTCAAATGCAGGCAAATTGTCGTGGATGTCAGAGGGACGTGGTTGTGAGGAGGTGAAACCATATGTTATTATGGCCGCTTGAGAATTTCCCTCGCCGAGATTGAATGAGCCCGCCATGGATTTTACAAACTCTTTTTGGCTCCTGAATCCTAAGCTTCCGACGAATGACGACGTGTCCACGAGAAAGACTATAGCAGCTCGGAGGGTTTTGATTATGCCAGTAGTCCTGTCTAAGGAAAAGTCGCGAAATAGCAGTTAGTACCAATGTAGTGGAATAAGGCTTAGTTGCTTATAAGACTTGCTACTTAAGACATTTAACTTCAAACCATAAGAAAATAATGCAAAATAAGTAGTATCCAACTTAATCAGATCATTCTGAAATGGAAAGCGATATAACTCGACCAGGTACGTATTACTTGCCGTTTTGTGCCCTTGATATCAAGTTTCTTGCGCGTTCAATGATTAAAAGCTGCGGTCATAGAGAGCAAAGACCATGAAAATGGCATAACATATAAGGCGTGGTTTTTCGCAACCCAGTTTCACTCCACCTTTCAAGGTGGAGATATTTTCCACGGTCTACATTATTGTGGGCTATAACGTTTTTGAAAACAAGCGTAGTCATTTTGGTTTAAAATTTTTCAAGAACACGGAAAATTACGCAACGTAGTAAAAAGATCAGTTCTATCAAAAATATATCATTAATCTCAGCTTTAGTAAACCTGTCGGCACTCGGTATGTTATGCTAATTACCCGAGCCCTTTTTCGCTCATCTTGGAGCTGAGCACCTCGGAAATATCGTGGTACTCACGGAAAGTATTAAGCTAACGTGGTCATCCAAGTACTTACTCGACGTATCGACGATAATTTCCCCAACTGTGGTCCATCGAGTTCTCAAATCATCAAACGAAGCCATCCTGAAAATATGCGATGATTCTTGTACCACAGGACGAAGCTCGGAGATGTCAGGCTTTAGACTTATCGCCACGACATAGCTGTAAACTCCACCTTTCAGAAGCGGGATTGCTGCCTCACCGGGAGACTTACTGCCAAATACCGAGGCTTGCTTTCCGGAGGTCAACAACACGACAATCTTCGTAATCCTTGGTCTGGCGTCGGCCATGATTTGAGAGGTCTTGTCGAGAGATCGGTCAATCCGTCTGTCACCGCCAACAAATGGAGCTCTGTCCACTGCTACCTCAAAGTTTGAAAAAGGTCGATTGATGTCGAAGCCGATCACCCCAGCTGCCCTGTTGCCGTATGTTATGAGCGCTGCGCGAGAGTTCCCGGGCGAAACGTTGAGATATCTCGCGAGATATTTGACGAATTCCTTCTCCTTTTTGTAATCTTCAAGAGGCACAGCGGAAGAAGAATCCATTACAAAAACTATATCCGCGATGACGTTTCGTGGTTTAGGACCTGAAATAGCAGTAAGAATCTGTCAACATACATCTGCGGAACGTTTCTCTGGTGGAAAGCGACTTAATGCATCTAAACTGACGAGTAATGACTCCTTTGTGGAAGCTGTTCCCATGGTGAAGCTAATAAATGTGATATTAGTGAGACCAACACCCAGAGTCCTTTTATGGAATATTAACTGGAGGTAATAAATTCAATATTAGGATGTAGCTAAGAGCACCCAGAGCCCTTTATAGAAGATGTTGCCCTACTGGAGATAACCAATGCAGCTGTTATGCCTGATTTGAGTTTAGGATGGTTTTGAATACCATATAAGAACAAAGATGTCACTTTGTATGGACACACTCCACACAGCTGGTTGTCACACGTCCATGGGAGGGCATACAAGATAAATATTTAATTTCCTGACTAATTACAGTTTTTTTGTGGGTGTAAGATCCAATTAAACTGAATCGTATTTCAACTTAAGACCCAATTCTCAAATTATATAACGGGCTTGATAACTTTGAATTTAGTCATACCACGTGATCAGCAAACAATTAAAGAGAACATTCATTAGATTAAAGTAAAATTTATCTAATTATAATCTATAATATTTTTCATCACTGTTTTTGAAAAACTGCCCACTTAATCAAAACCTAGACAGGTTAATATCTCCACAAACTAACCTTCCTTTAGGCTCTTTTCGATACCCTTTGACAACGGAGCAGCATAGGGCTGGATCCTATCAAATGGAGGAACTCTGAACGTGTCTGTAGGTTTCTCTACTATTTTATTAAATTCATTTTCATCTGGTCCTCGACCAACCATGACAACAAACGATCTCCCACCACGAGCCTGGATCAACCTGGTAGCATAGTCTGGAGACTGGGGTCCTGACTGCTGGTTTCCCGCCGTTAACAGCACCAGAAGTTTAGGAATGGACAGTCTAGCGAAGGTCAACAGCTGTGCCGCCTTTTGTAAAGCCAGGTCTATTCTTCGGGCACCGCCCATGGATCGGGCTCGGTCAACCGAGTCCTCAAATCGCGTGTTTCCGAAAGTATCAACCCTGTAAGCCGTGGAACCGTAGGTAATAAGAGCGGCCCGTGACTCGCCAGGATACACGTTTAAGTGCTTAGCCATTTCCTTGACAAAGGCTTTCTCTTGTCGATAAGCTTCTAGCGTGACAGTTTGGGAGGAATCCATCAGAAAAATGATATCTGCAATCACGTCCGTTGTAGGGCGCGGTTTTGTCGTTG